TGCGGTGAGCCGAGATCGCCCCATTGCACTCCAGCCTGGGAAACAAAAGCAAAACTCTAACAAAAAAAAAAAAAAAAAAAAGAATTCGACTCCACGACCCAAATACGTCCCAGCAGGCCCCACCTTCAACACTGGGATCAAATTTCAACATGAGATTTAGGGAGACAAAACCAAACCATAGAAATGTTAATAATAAATATATATTGAGTAAGAAACCTGCAAATATCTGTTAATTTTTAATTATATAAATTTTAAAATTGAAATATAATTGACAGAAAATTGTTCACATTTAATGTATAAATCTTGATCAGTTTAGTTACATGTGTTCACCCTCAGAAGCATCATCACAATGACATAAACACAAGCATCTTCTCCACAAGCCACCTCCTCCCCATTGTTTTGTGATAAGATCATTTCCATAAGATACACCCTCTTAACTAATTTCAAGCATACATACAGTATTAGCTACATGGAGTATTCTGTGCATTCAATAGCTAGGACTTATTCATATCACATAACTAAAACTTTATACTCTTTTTACAAACACCCCCCTGATTCCCCTTCCCCCAGCCCCAGTAACCAGCATTCTACTCTATGCCTCTGTAAGTTTGACTACCCTAAGTTCCTGATGTAAGTGGTGTCTTAGTCCATCGTTGCTGTTATAAGAAATATTCACTCTGGGTATCCATAAAGAAGTTTATTTTTCTGGAGGCTGGGAAATCCAAGACCAGGGCAGCAGCAGCTCGTGCCGGTGAGGGTCTTCTTGCTTTTTCTTTACAGGGTGGGAGGTAGGAGACAGTAAACGCACTCCCTCAAGGCCTTTCTACAAGGGCCTCAATCCATTCAAGAGAAAGGTGCCCTCGCCTAACCACTCCCTAGGGGCACCACCCTCCATATCATCACTCAGTGAATAGATTTCAACGTATAAATTTGTGAGGAACACACATGTTCAGATCATAGGAAGTGGGGTCATGTACTTCTTTCATGTCTGGCTTATTTCACTTATCGTAATGCTCTCCAGGTACATGCATGTGGCTGCACATGGTAGGATTTTCTTCCTTTTTAAGGCTGTATAATATTCCATTGCATGTACAGTTCACATTTTCTTTATTCATTATTATTGAGAGGTTTTATTACAAATTGAAAGGTATCTTCAATATTAATTTCATTTTTATTATTAAAAACAAAGTTCCAAATAGTGTGATTTCTGTGTGTGTGAGAGAGACAGAGTCTCGTTCTGTCACCAAGGCTGGAGTGCAATGGCCCAATCTTGGCTCACTGCAACCTCCACCTCCTGGGTTCAAGCAATTCTTCTGCCTCAGCCTCCCAAGAGCTGGGACCACAGCTGCACATCACCATGCCCAGCTAATTTTTGTATTTTTTTTAAGTAAAGATGGGATTTCACTATATTGACCAGGCTGGTCTCAAACTCCCGACCTCATGATCCACCTGCCTCAACCTCCCAAAGTGCTAAGATTACAGGTGTGAGGTGATTTCTTTTTTTTGAGGCAAGGCCTCCTTCTGTCCCCCAGGCTGTGATGCAGTGGTACAATCACAACTCTCATGTGTTCAAATGATCCTCCTGCCTCAGCTTCCGGAGTAGCTGGAAGTATGGGTGAGCAGCACCATGCCCAGCCTCCCAAAGTCCTGGGATCACAGACAGGAGCCACCACATCTGGCCCCATGATATTTTTTTTAAAAGGGAAATCACTTAATTTTGTTAGAGCAATTTTAATATCACGGCAGAATTAAGGGGATGATACATAGGCTTCCCATGTACCCCTTAGCCCCACACCCCCATCGCCCCCCTCATTAGTAACATCCCCACCAGACTGTTACAGTGACGCAGTCAACCTATTGAGACACGGTAGTCATCCAGTGACCACAGTTTACGGGAGCGTTCACTCGGTACTGTACATTCTGTGGAATTAGAAAACTAAAATGACAAGTATCTGAGTGCTATACAGTGTTTTCATCACAATAAAAACCTGTGCTCTGCGCATTCACCTCTCCCTGTGCCCCCAACCATGGAAGCCACCGATATTTTTACTG